CTAAATTAAGCTGCTCTCCATTCAGTGTTTCTTCTTTTGGTATGATCAGAGCTTTCAGAAAACCCATGGTAGAACTTTAGTGGAGGATAGCTGGTCTCACCTGGGAAAACAGAGGCAATTTCCTGTGAGCTCCTTCTGGCTTATTCTATGTAGAAAAACCCTTTACAATCATCACTCCATCTTTCCTCATTTATTTTGATCTCTGAGGAAGAGGTGGCCCTTTTCCAAGGCCAATCCCTCTAGTAGTCCCTTTTATCTCACTCCCTACTTTCTCCTCTATCAGACTGCTCTTAAGCAATCATCCTCTTTCTTTTTAATCTTCAGTAAGGTGTCTTCCATCTTTAAAACTTTGCTTAAGACATTACCATTCTCTCAACCTATCTCCTTCTATCTTTCCTCCCTTTCTTAGCCAAATTTCTATAGAAAAAAGGCAAAACAAAACTAAAAACTGTCTATACTCCTTACCCCTTTCTCTCTTTTCACTTACTTTTCAACACTTTCAAAGTCTACTAACTCATTGTTCAAGTGAAACACCTCTCTCCAAAGTTACCAGGGATCTCTCAATTACCAAATGGTCACCTTGTCTCAGTCCTCATCCTTCTTCATCTTTGTGTAGCACTAAATACTGTTAACTTCCCTCTCTTTCTGGATATTCTCTCCTCCCCTGGTTTTCTTCCTATACATTTGATCACTCCTCCTCAGTCTCTTGCGCTGGATAATCACCCATGACTCAACCTTTAAATAAGTATCTCAAGGTTCTGACCTCAGTCCTTTTCTCTCGGTGATCTAGTCAATTTTCATGTGTTTAATTCTCCTCTCTATGCAGATGAATTGAAGATCTTTATGTCCAATCTGCATTTCTCTACTCAGATACCCACATATTGAGTCTAGGGGCAGTGGGTCTGCCTATGTTGAGTTTGGGGACCTGTGATGTGGTTAAAGTCAGATTGAGTGGTCAAATCAGGACATGACTGCTGTTCAGTGGAGGCCATAAAGAAGTTAGAATATTGGAGCTGGGGGCAGCTCTATTAGGACCCACTGATATCTTGAGCATCCATCTCCATCCCTCCAGTCATATCATAAACCTTTCATCTGACCATGTCACTCCCTGACTCCAGGAGCTCCAGATCTAAAGTCCTCTTGGCTCTAGGATCACATATAAGCTTATTTGTTTGCTTTTAAAGTCCATTATCAACTGGCTCCAACTAATATTTTCCAGGCTTACACATTACTCCCTTTCTCATACTGCTATAGGACCACAAAAATATGGCAGCCAAGATTCATTTCACTTGTGATTGCTATATTTATTGGTTAGAATTTTTTTAAACTGCAAATGCTAGTCTACTTCACTCTGGGGAATACAAAGTAATTGATAATGTTTGCTATAGAGTATTTACATGCATATACATATTTATACATAACTATATTAATAACTAAGGACTTCTCTCTTTCCCTTCTACCTTTTTAGGATCTTTGTGCATTGGAAAGAAAACAAAGATTCTCTTCTAGAGAATCTGAAGCCAGTTCCTTTTTAGAATCCTGAGGAAAAAGCCACCTACACCTCCATAAAGCCTTTTGTACTTCCTCTGATATAACAACCCAAGGTCAGCTTCCTGGCTTTTGCCAGATAATTTAGGATTAAAAACTCCCTGGCAAGATTCAAGCCCATATCAACTGTGTTAGTGTCATTTATTTCTTGCTTTCTTTTGCCTCCTCCCCCAATACTAGCTAAGAAGGTCTCTTTATCTTCTCAATTATAGAAAGTTTCTTTTCCCCCAATTATAACTTCACAGATAAATGTCCATCTGGACCCAAATAGTTTCACAGCATGGAACATCATAGCTAAAATTCTCCAGTTCTTCCTTGTTAGCTTACCTTGGGTAAATTGGGAAAAATTCCAATCTCATAATCTCATTCCCCTCAACCAAGTTTTGTGCTCAGGGTTGCTACAGCATGGACCTGGAAGAAGAGGCAGTAGACAACAACTTGTTCCTCATCAGTGACTATCCTGGAATCCCTGAAAAGGAGGAAACATTTTTTACATGCATCAGAGATGGGAAAAGGGAAAACTGGGAAGCCATCTTTGGAACCTCTCCACACCACCGCTTCAGTATGGGAAACTACCATACCATCACCCCAAACCTGACATATATTTGGAGGCTTGGGGCATCACATTCTACTATCCCGTTGGCTATAAAGAATATTTCTTTACAAATCTCTTCTAAATGTTGTACGTGGGTTTCTTTTTTCCTTTTCTGGTCTGAAAATGAATCATCACATTATCAGTCACTCATTTGGAAGGGACAGTTGATATCAATTTGAAAGAATTGAAATGGGAAGGAAAAAAAAATCCATCTATTTCTTCATTTTAAAACTCCTTCAAATGAGACATCCCTCATTCCAATTTCTGTACTGAATGACCTTAATTTATGCACTTTGCTTAGCCAAACTGGCCGGGATGTCCCATATACTTACTATCTGCATGCTTTTGTACAGGCTGTCTTCTAAGGCTGAGATGTACCTCCTTCTCTGCCTGTTGGAGTCCCTAGCTCCTTTTAAAGCTCAGGTGAAGTTCTACCACCTACAAAAGATCTTTCCTGATCCTCCCAAATACTTATTAATGCCTGCCCCACCCCCCACCCCCCAAGTAAAATGCAAACTCCTTGAAGGCAGGAACTGTTTAGTATTTGTCTTTGTATTCCTGCCCTAGCCCCTAGCTTGGCTCCCAGTAAGCAAGTAAATAAGTGCTTGTTGAATTGAATTGAGCTCAATTTCATTTGATGTAGTGGCTGTAAGTATTATTAAAGTCTGTGGTTAGAGAAGAAATCTCCCAGGCTAGTGTGTTTTGAAGTATAAGCATTATGAATTGACAGTAAAATCTGGTTCCATTAATTAGTTTATTAATTAAATTAGTTTATCTGAAGTCACTGTAGTTTCTGATGTGTTATTAAGTTTACTTTGTTGTTCCTTATTTGCTTTACCAGTTCTGTTAGACAACTTCTTCTGTTAATGTTTTGGTGGCTTTTTTTTTTAACTGAATTATCCATTTTATGAGCAGCAGAATGCCTTGTTCAATGGCCAAACTGTGTTAACTGCATTCCAACAATTTTATGGATAACTGTGACTTTTTTAGGTCACTTGGCTCAGACAAGGAAAGGTGTGGAGGTGTAGATTGACCTATCTAAAGTTATAAGACAAAAAAGAAGGTCTTTTCACTCACCATTTAGTAGTGAACCTAGTTCTTTTCCTTAGTTTGATCAATAAATGGTTCTGGATTTCAAAATCACACTCATAAGCCTTTTATAAAGATAAGTGCCTATGTTAGAAAAGCAGGGAGACACATTACTTATGATAAAATAAGTCTCACAAACATCAGTCCTGCAAACCTAAATCTGCAAAGTGCCAGATAGCTCCCAGAAAAGGCAGCTATGCTTCCAACTCAATGTTTGAAAATTGTGTCCCCTTTGAACAGATACCCCTTGGAGCCTTCCAGTCACAAGATAAATGACGTTACTTACACCAAATAAATATATTGATGCCATGAACAGAAATTTTCGGGCATTAAAATGCAAATATGTATACATATTTTATATATATGTATACAAATATTCATTAGACTATAAGCTCCTTGAGAGCAAGAAGGAAGAAAAGAAACATTTATTAAGTGCCTACTATATGCCAGATCTTTACAAATATCTCATTTCATCCTCACAACAACCCTGGAAGGTAAGTGCTATTATTATCCCCAGTTTGCATTTGAGGAAACTGAAGCAAAATGGGGTAATGTGCTTTGCTCAGCCTCACAGAGATAGTAAGCTTTGAGGCCTCCGATTGGATGTGAACTTGAAGGATCTTCCTGAATACAGGCCCAGCACTCTGTGGAATAAATCACCTAGCTCCCTTTTATCCCCAGAGTTTAGCACAGCACCTGGCACACAGTATTAATCAATCAATAAACATTTATTAAGTGCCTATTGTGTGCCAATCATTCATTGCAAAATGTGGCAAAACACAAAGTAGGTATTTCATAAATGCTTGATTGATAGACTTACACATTTATAGTTACATAGAGTTATATGTATGCTGTATGTAGTTTTTAAGTATGCTGTACATATAACTAGAGGAAGATGACACTTTAGCCACCAAATTAGATTAAGGAAGTGCATGTTTACGGATTTTAAAAAAGTACTCCTCTACTCTCTGAGTTAATTTTAAAAATAATTTGATAACTGCAATTTCAACATAATTGACTTCCTTTGCAACTCTAGGTGTTTTTTTTTTTTTAAATGCATTTAAAAACGGCATTCACAAAACGGGTCCCTGGACTTGTGCAGACTGCCAATGCGGGTCTCTGAAACAAACAAATACAAACTCCTCCCCTATAACCTTCTTTCATAAGTATCCACCCAGTTCACAATTCGCCAATTGAAAACAAAACCCAACCGCACTTACAGCTACACAACTTTTCACTGGAGTAGGTGCCTCTCCACCACGTGCACTCTCCCTCAGGTAGCCCTTCGTTGGTTGGCTCCCGAAAACATTTCTGGGCCCGAGCTACTCCCTCATTGGCTACCCTCTATGCCCGTCCAAACCACCGCCATGTGGTCCTTTCAGATTTCAACTGTGGGCCCGCCCATTTTTGTGTTTCGGGTGGTTCCCACCGAGTGAGCGCCGGCTGAGTGGGGGGAGGGGGCACTACTGCTCCCCGGCCCCGGCCCCCGCCCTCCCACCGCCCGGAGCACCTAGAGCTGGCCCCTGATTGGCTGGGGGCGGCCCCTGCCCGGCGGGTGGGGAGTTCTCGACGCGGGCCGGTGGAGGACGCCTGGCGCTGGTGTCTGCGCTCGGGGCGCGAGCGGCCGAGGCGGAGGCTCGAGGACAGCGCGAGCCCCTCCTACCCCCGGCTCCCGCTTCCCGGCCGCCGCTGCAGCCGCTGGTGCTGCAGCCGCCCCCTGGCCGCCTCTCTTCTCCCCGCGGCAGCCCCCACACGGCCCGCTGGGTCCCCGAAGCGGCCGCGGCGGCGGTTTGTGGTCGTTGGTCCCAGAGACTTGTGACCAACATCCGAAGACCAAAGGGGTGAGGAGGGGTGAGGGGGGCGCCACCAAACCGCCGGTAACGGCCGGACCCCCCGCCCCCCGCCTCTTCCCCCTAGGCACTCACACGCGCTTACACACTGGGGCACACTCCCGCGCCCGGGGCCGCCGCCTGCGTGTAAGGAGCCCCCGAGGTGGGGTGGGGGTTTCGGGGGTGCCCGGGCCGGGTGAAGGCCGTTATAGCTCAGCCTCCTGGGGGCATCGCCCGGCGGCGACCCGCCCAGCCCCCCTGCCCCTCCGTGCCCGGCCGAAGTCAGCCGTCCAGACCCCTCCCCCCACCTGTTACCTCCTGGCGTCCCCCACCCACCCAGACACCCGCTGCGCGCAGCCCCCCCCTTCCCCGTGTGGGGGCCTCCCTTCCCTTGGTGACGCGTCGCCCCAACCTTAGCCCATCCCCGCCTCCCTTCTCTTTCTCCGCGGTTGTCTTATTCCCTTTACCTGTAATTCACTCCTTCACGGCCACTCGGGGACTTGGCAGGTAAATTCCACTCCGGGCCCTTCCCCCAACCTGTAGGAAGGACACGCAAACTTAGACAGGAAACCTAGGGATGCCCTCCCCCCGCCCCCACCTTTTCAGGCACCTAGCCCTTCGGCTGAAACTTGTCTATAACCCTCCCTTCCCCTTATTGTTTTCATAGAGGTCTTAACCTGGGTGCATGCTTGGAAGCCTAGGATTCCTCTACCTTGGACTCCCGGGTTTCTGCTCCGAGATCTTACCCTTATTGATTATTGTGCATTGGAAAGCTTCTGGAGGGATAGGAACAACACCAGCTGATCCTTCTCAACCGTAATACGAGGGCAGGCAGCCACACACGGTAATCAATAGTTAAAAACGGATATACCATCTTGATCACTCAGTAAGGGCAGAAGAGTGTTGTTCGACTTTATCTTACTGTTGTTGATGTGTAAAGAGCACTAGACTGGGAGTCAGAAGACGCGGGTTCTGCCCCTAACCTGCGTGACTGTTACACAGAGAAGGACCTGTAGTGTTTTTCGAGAGAGCCCTCATCCTTTGCCTAGTGACTTGGACAAGTCATTTGCTTTGGGTCTGGATTTCCTTATCTGCAAAATGAGGGGTTTGGATTAGGAGGTCTTTAAAAATATGGCTGTCGAAAGGTATGGGATAAAACAAGGAGCCTCTGTAATCTTATTCCATAGGCATTAAAAAATGTAATGGAGTTTTGTCTTTAGATTTTTAGTATTGTTTATCAGGAGTCTCTTGGGCTTTAATTATTGGAAGCTTCAGAAGACTTATGACCTGACTCACTGCTTTGTCTTGGACTATATATGGACTCAGGGCTAGCGTTAAGCAAAGATTGCTGTGTATGTCAATACAGGTACTCATACATACATCCAGGTATATGTGTGTAAATTATCCTTGGTTGGGGTGGTTTCTTTTATTATTTAAAAAAAATTATTGTAAGAGGTTTTCATGAAAGTGTCACCAGTAGCACTATGGTATTCAGTAATTTATGAATGTGGAAAAAAGAATGAAGTCATTTTATATGTAAATCACATAGTAGTAATGTAGTAACTTCTTATTTGCTAAAAATTAAAAGTGCTACTAGTTGCCCTGTAAGGTATATATTCTCTGTTGAAATATTTTGTAACTTGACTTTTCACATACATGATGACATCAGGACCAAATTGATGATATGGTTATAGATCATAATACTTTGCTTATCATTGCATCTCCTTATTTAAATCTAAAACTCCATGTTTTTCTCTAGCTATAGTATGAGATAATAAAATTTCTTTAATAGGTAGGATTCAATCAAGCTTCATAACATTTCCATCTTACAATCATAAAACCTTGGCAAGTAGGCTTCGATTTATGAAGTTACATACATAAACAATTGTTGGCAAGAGTCCGTGTTTGCATATATGACAACTCTTGTATAACCATTGAAGTTTTTATCACTAAGGTCCACAGAACTCTCAATGCAGTTACCCATTTTAATTACTACCTGATGATTGGTGAAAGAGGGAAGAAAATAAAAATCAGTATTTTCACATTATAACTTCACAGAAGACCTTGGAAAATATTATATAAGGAATTGTGTATTTCATTAGGAAGAGAGTACTTGTCAGAAAAAGGTCTAATCTAGGGTCAAAGAACACGTTACCTTTTGATACTTATAATCATTTAAAAATTACAACTCTGGTATAAGGTACTAAGCTATTTTTAAAAATTTTATAACTTAGTCCTCCTAAGCTTAAAGTAAATCTGACAGTGTTCCCAAAATATCTGAAACATCTTTTTGAAAATATTTTAATAAATTGCTTGTATGCCTACTATGAAAATAAATGTACTGGCCACATAATGCTATGTATTATACTGTATGCCCAAAATATTTGTGTTGATCCAGCCACATTTCTTTGGCTAGTTCGTTTGTTATTGTAAATGTCTTTGTGGTGGATTATGTGACTGGAATAGTGAACTAGATGGCTTAACCAATCATTCAGTCAACTATGAACCCGAGCCTTACTGAGCACCACACTCTAAACAGACCAAGAGGCTAGAAACTTAACTACTACATATTGTGTATAATGCATTAAAGGATTGACTTAACCTCTAAGATGATACTTTTGGATCTGAAGCTAATGTTTTTAATTTTTAATTTAATTTAAAAGTTCAGATAAAGTATATGCAATATTTTAAAAATTTTTACAACGAATCTTCATCACTTGCTTTAGGAAAGGAGAATTTCTATATAAGGATATAAGTTTGATGAATGAAATATAATTCTGTAGACTTTATATTTATCAAGTTATGTTTAGTTATAAAACTCACTTTTCTGGGTAATGCACTGTCTGTTGCTGCTGCTGTTCAGTTGTTTTTCAGTTATGTCTGACTCTTCTTAAAACCATTTGAGGTTTCTTGGTAAAGATAGTGGAATGGTTTCCCATCTTCATCAGCTCATTTTACAGATGAGGAAACTGAGGTAAACTGGGTTAGGTGACAGCTAGTAGTGTCTGTGGTGCTGTGTCCACTGCACCACCTAGCTGTCTACTGTTTTTTTTTTTTTTAAAGGGCAGTAAAAATTTTAAAGTCTTGATTATTATTGACAACAAGATTTTAAAATGTAAAAAAAAAATACGGTCAACATTTAAACCTAATGGTCTTGAGCATATCCATGTTTTGGCTGTATTATTTCCTTGCTTCCATGGCTTGCTGATTTTATTGCCCGAGTGTCAGGAGACATCTTTGAAAGTTCAAGATCTTGGTCTAGAGAATTGTCTGTAGACATCACACATAGGTATGTTGTAACATTTTCTACCTTATAGTTTACACTTCCATATGAGCAATGCCCTGATTACCTTCTCATGTCCATCACCTTTACTCTTATAACCACAAGTCTGTAGTTTAGGCTGGCCTGTGACAATGCTTTGGGTGACAGAGCTAGGATTGAAATAGTAGTAATTGAGAAGGGAGTAATTAGTTTTGGCACCTCATTTGGGAGTGGGACACAGGTAATTAGCATGTATAGCTCATCACTTATGATTCCTAAACTGTTAAAGGGAACTGACTAGTGGATTGTCCCAGGATCAAATATAAAGATGATTTTTCTAATTGAAATTTAAAAATCCAGTTCTCCTGGGAAGTGAACTTAAACTAAATCATAAGCTGCTTAGATTAGATGTAAAACTTTCTTGGCAGTAAAGGTGGTTGGGCAATTGAAATTTGAATAGGTCAATAAAGAAAACTATATAATCTCTTCCTTGGAAATCTTTTACATTTTAATAATTCATCTTTTGTCTTGGCTTTAGCTAATGACTCATGAAGTTCCTACCATTTCTTCATTTGTATGATTTCAAGATTCTATGCTTAACTGTGTTCAGTGTATATTCTCTACTGAGTCCTTTGCTTCCTGGAGTAAGAGAGTTGAAGTACTCTGTCACAAGGAAAATCCCAGCTATTCTCTGAGGAAAAACCACAGCAGTATTCCACAGAGGCTACTATGATAGGATGTGACTCTAAAGAAGTTTGTTTGGGGATAAATTAGCGACTTAATGGCTAGCTGGCATTGAAAACGTTAAAGCTTTAATTACTACTAGAAAAAATAAGTTTTCATAATGAACCTCAGAATGGAAGGATAAAAAACAAATTAGAGACAGCTTGTGAGAATCTCAGAAAAACTGAAAGGTTTCAGTGAAAAAAATGATGCTATATTAAGTAATCTGGAATTTCTTCAGGGGACGCTTGAAGGGAAGGATTAGGCAAAAGAAAATCTTGAATATTTTGCCTCAAGAATAGGAACAGATGGTAGTAAATAGAATTTCAAAATCTCATAATTTCAAGATGATACTATTTAGAGTGATGTTGAAGTTCAAGATACACTGGTAAGTTGCTGAAGTAGAGAAGAATTCAACAGTATCAGTGAAGTCAAATTCTTAATCATTAATGTGGACAAATACATGTCTTTTGGAATGGATCTACTCTTTTAATATTCCTGATTCAGGTAGTGTTTTGCCTCTGATGACTTTTGAGATGACACTTTCCAATTTTATGATTCTTTGAAAAACATCAAATCAGTATGTGCAGAAGGGCTAGGAATGTTTAGCTTTGTTCCTTTAAAAGAATTATTCCAACACAGTTTTGATCTTCACCCTTAATTTAACTTGTTTTCAAAACTTTATTAGACTCCTTTATGATATGATTCTTTGTAGTGCGTATTTTTATGTCATGAATTAGATTATGTCCCAAAAAATAGTGTGGCATGCTTTAGCTTGTAACATGTTTTGAAACTTGGTCACGAGGTTTATCCCAATGCTAATGTTGTAAAGAAAATCTATTTCTAATAAAATTGATCATGATTACTAAAATAAACATGATATCAAAATTTTAAAAGATAATTTGTGGATTTAGTTATGTGGAATTCAGTTGTAACACTTCCATTGTATTATTAATAGTACAAATTTAATTCTGTATTTCAGAATTTGAGATTAATTTGATTAATGGAAATTCCCATATTGGGGAAATTAGGCCAATAGTAAGGACTGTTTGGGGAGGCAGCCAGATAAAGAGAAAAGTACCTCAAAAGTGGAGTGCCATGATCTCACTTTAAGGCCCTCGTACTGCTTGTGTGACCTTGGGTAAGTAACTGTCTCTTGGCATTAACTTTTTTTTTCAGCTATAAAATGAAGGGACTATATCAAATGTCTCCTAAGGTCTTTTTCTGTGACTCTAGGCCTAGGATCTGATCTTAATTGATGAAATTAACTAGACAATTATTAACTATTCATTTTGCTAATCATGGGAATATCTGGTTAATGAAGCAGGAATAATTGTATTTTATATTGACTAAATGTCTTTGGGAGGCTTTTATTTAGACTAGATTTTTTTGAGTTTTAGTTATACTATTTCTTCAAGAAATCTTGGACTATATTCTTCAGTTCACTTATTTTTAATTATACCTAGGGAGTAAAAAAGTTATAATGATAAGTCTTTAATGTACAAAGAGATTTGTTAAATTCATTTGCATTTAATTTTTAAAATATAATATCTCTAATAGTGGTGGTGGTGGTGGTAGTAGTATCTGAATTGCCTTAGGATTACTCCATGCATGACTTTTTTTTAAATTTTCTGGACTAGATCTTTGATTTCATTAGTATAGCAGACTCCCAGTAAGGATACCCCCTCTACCAATGCATATCGGCACAGGCACAATGTCTGGTTGGCATTGATCGCATAACTTCTGTGTCAGAGGTGGAACATAAAATCAGTATTTGCTGACTCTCAGGCTAGTTCTCTACCCATCATACCTTACTGCTTATCTCTAGAAATTTTTCTTAGTAAAATGGAATACCAACT